CTTTTATCGATATGGTAATATTTATAATGTACATACTTTTACAGATCTAACATTCCTTTTCTTCTTATTTAATGCAATTACATTATCATAAGTCAAAAAGCGAAGTCTTTGTCTTGATTTTCGAATATTTATATCTTTCTTTTGAAAAAAACATTGTTATTTAATTTTAAAGTCTAAATTGTTTAAAGTCAGGGCATCGTAATAACTTAATAAATTATGTTTTTTTAAATGTTATACTCCATTAATTAATTTATACAGAATTTTGATTACTTTTAGGGTAACCATTTAATTATCTAGACATTCTTATGTTCGCAAAAACATTCACGGGAAAATTGTACGTGCATGCAAACTTGCTCATAAAATACTGCATTTAAAGCATCCATCTATTAACCGAAGTTCCTTCTCACGTCAACGGCGCGAAATCATTGTTCCTACGAATGTGTGATTATCGAGGTTCAATTAATCATGGTATTTTATCACCGTTTAATGGTATCCTTGGCTGTTGTAAAATCACTATCGCACGCAACGAGAGGTATTATACGACGCAACTAGGCAACACACTTCAACATCGGATTCCGTCAAGATTTATCGCGTTCAACATTTCCGCTGTGAATCGTATTTTTATGTCACGCAAGACGTCGATTCTCCGATACGGCAGGAGTATCCTAGCGTTCGATTACAGCTTGGTTTAATGATAATTGAGATCGCACGCGAGCGGAAATCTTATCGTCGCTTCCGATCAGGAAGGAAGGTACGGGGAAAAAGAGGGCTACTCAGAGTGAAGAGAGCTGCTTGAGTGCATCCTGCTTCCGATGACACTCTCATCTGCTCATCAACGGATTGCATGGGAAGAAAACGTCATCTGATACGTTCCTTAGGGGAAGGTTCCTCGCACGAACCCGGTCGGAGACGTGCAATCTTTTTCGGCAGCTCTTAAAAAAAAATGAAGAAGCATCACGCCTACTTTCGTTTCACACAACCTGTATTATGTGAGCAGATGGCCGTCGAATACGATGAATTCGTTGATGAGCAGACTCGATGCAAAAGAGAAGTTCCAGGCAAAGAGATGAGCGCGTAAGAGAAAGATACGAGCGTGTAACTATCCCTTCATAAACCAGTTCACAGAAATTTTGCAGACACGCAGATGACCGTTGAAAAGCCGTTGCACGCCAATTTTTAAACACACGTTACGATGCTTGATAACAATGACTATTTGATAAACTATTTAATGGGGTGGCTATTATATCAGATTTTAATTGTTTTACTTTACGCTTAAAACTAAATGATCTTTTGTCTTCATTTATTTTTTCCAAAAACGTTATATCTGATCAATTTGGCGTTTACATTTTCTTGATGTTTGCAACGCCAAACTTACAATTTTACATCGTTTTTGCCAAAGATCCGCAAACGATTCTTGACATTTAAGTTTTATCGCTCGTCGTTATTCCCGCAATATCTCCATCGATCGTGACGATTTTAAAAACATTTATTCCTTCTTCAGACAATATTCTCATTACCGCGGATGATAGCAATCTGCTCCAGTTAATAATTGAAGGAAACACGCAGTATTAAATAAATACGACCGGATGTTTCGATTTAACGGCGGCATTTAAGTATTATTGATCTCATTTGACGCCTCGAGTTATCGCGTTTCTTAACATTTTCCCATGGTGTTCTGTTTGTATCATTAAGCGCCAACGCAATTACTATAATGATGTCACCATCCGGCAGACTGTCATCTTCCGTAGCGAATGAAGCGGCACAGATAACATACTGTGAAGTTAATTATTATTTTAAACGCACGCGTGTGTATCATCCAATACCATTGAAGACATCAGCCACACAAAAGTTTCCAGATTATCTAATTAACCGCAGTTTTTAGAATACGCATGTATATAATCAGCAAGTGATTAAGTATTATAACGAATAATGGAAGCTTGCAAACTAATCTCGCGTAAACGTTGCCGCTACACCGCGACTTTAACAGATTCGAAACAAATTAGATTTAACGGTTCATCATTTTCCGGGGCATGTGGGTCGGTCTTGAGAACGCTTCGCACTTCTGCGCGAACTCGCGCAAAATGCACGACAAGAAACAGCAAATTAATATGCATAATTTGTCGGAACAATGGCGAGAACGAGGCTCGCTCTCGAAAGCGGGGTCGCGAACGAAACGAGTCGACTACGACGTGGAAACGAGTGGAGGAACGACTCCCCGTGCCGTGGAAAAGACTCCTCTATTGAGGTTTGTGAGATCTCAGGTGAATAAGATTCTCCACCGAAATCATTACTGTGCCAACTAGAGGCGTCGTACGAATGTACGTCGCGCTCGGGTTCGTTGCACCGAAAATTTCACTCGGACTTATCGAACGAACGCGTAAACGTAGCGTCACGTCACGCATGTATACTTCTATACAATAGTTAGATTTTATTGCGGTGCGCTATGTATGTACATCTCATTGCGTAACAATAAGGACGCGCCTCAAGGTGTTAATTAAGTACTGTAGTTGCCTTTCTACTGGATGATGAATTCGCCCCTTCGTCTTTCTACGAAGCTTAAATTAAAGAACTCTTCCCGACTATAAGTCGGGATATAAGATATATATATATACATTATATATTATGATTAACTTGATTTAGTAAACTCGTAATTAACTCGTGATTAAATCTTAGCTTTCGCATCTTGATTTAAGAATCTTTCAACAGTGAATTTTGCTATACATGAAATATAACTTTTCCAATTTTATTTGATTTAAATCAGCCTTAAAGAGATGGAGATCAAATTAATATTAGAAAATGTAATAATCGAGATAAATCGCACGTCATCCAAAGTTTGTAAAAATATAATAAATCGCAATCTCTCGCGCATTTTTTCGCGCATGCGTTGCAATTCGGCAGATTAATCGCCACGTATATGTCGCGCTTTTTTTGGCAAACAACCAACGATGGTGACTTAACTTGCCTCGGCGCACCCGTATCTTATCCGCGGAACGACAGTCGCGTTACGAGCCTAAGACAATGAGGTCGCCATGTTTTTCTTGTGTCCTCGCATGACGACCGAAACGGCTCTGAAACCCGGTGCCGTATAAGACCGTCGTCTTGCTTCCTTCTACACGGGCGCTCCCATCCGTGACGCCCTACCTTCGCTCGCATAAACGTAAGACATGGAACCAACGGCGACTCTCGTATCCAGACGAGTGATTTACAAGCAACAATTAGCTTCACGCTGCGACTAAACGCGATATTAATATACATTGATATTCAATGAACAACTAAGCGCGAAAAATGGAAAGTGCGATAAGAATGTCAGAAATAAATCAAGAAGAAAATTACCATCTCGTTTGCATATCTTTACATATAGAAATTAGGGTTCTTGTAAAAGAAATATATTGTGTGTACAAATGTCTAAGATGTCTAGATGTGTATTATGTGTATGAATTAGGAAAATGATATATTTCTTTTCCTAATTCTACACTTAAGTTATCTAAACAATTTTCGAGTTTTATTAGTGCGCATAAATGTATTTCGCAACTATTAATATAAAGGCTGGACAAAATGATATATCATATTTAAATTTTTGAGGTTAGTCATTAACCTATTTCTTTTAAGAAAACAATGTTTTCTTGACTGAAAAGGTTCGTAATTTGTTATTTACATTTTCAGAGTTTATTTCTTAAGAAATGATAGAAATCGACATAACGCGAGCAATGCGTAATTGCATGCATTCTCGCTTTCACTCATTTCTAAATCGCTATCATTGATCGCAACGCAAGTATACGATCTTGTGAGTTGGTAAAACAGAATATAGATCAGTTCCCTAACTCTGTCGGTGAAGATTTATCAATAGTCGGTAAAACAGCTTACAAAGAATTTAAATTGTTCTTACTAATAGTCGGTATAAAGAAATTTATTATATCGACAGATGTATTTACTCACAAATTTGTATTAGTTCAAATTTGTGCCGCAGATCATACAAACTTTGACTTTTAGTTGATTATCGAAATCTCTTCAAAACTTAAATTATTTTAAAATATTTATTTACATATAAAACAAAATATCTCAATATATATCTTAAAATAACCTAATATATGTATATTTTAAAATAAAATTCTTGTTTGTCAAAACATGTATTATTAAAAAATCTAATACACATCTTACAAAACATCTTATGTTTATGAAAAGAAGACTTTAGCATAATACTTTTTGCACATAAACATAAGATAATTAATTAAAGCTCGCAGCTGTAAAATAAAAATAAAATCTTTATAAAAGTATTTCATATTGATTTGTATATTAGAACATCTGCAGTAATCTTTTAATTGCGGTATATGTTCGGTATGTAATCGTATGCAGAGGCAATCTAATTTGTACTTTGCTTGTTTAAAATTTGCGATAATAGTGGAATGGATATAAAATTATTCTATACAATACTGTGAAATGGACTCTAACCGAATGTTGCGCCGTTAAACGCCTCCACTGTAATTTTCCTTTTCATGCATGAGTTCGTTGGAAACGTTGGCCCATTTTCCGGGTGCTCTAGCGCAATCTAGCAATTAAAATCATTTTGTTTCGCAAAAAAAGTAGGCGACGGAAATGTTCGTTTTATTATCCGTGTTCAATAATACGCGATATTTCATAAAAGCTTGAAGGCAACTGTGATCACTGGCACGCGGAGAAAGCGAGTTGTTTTGGAGGGACAGAGAATCTAGTTACATATATCTTGTATGTAATAACGCATAACGTTTAATCTTTTCGTTGCGCTTGAGCACATATGGAAACACACACATAATCGTTGTATACGATTTCGATTATTTATGATAACAGATCAATTTCATTTGCTATAAATGTGTTTGAGGAAAATAGAAATAAGTATATTACAAGTTGTTATTGTTCTGATAAAATTTCAAATATCTTGGGAACAATTTTATTAATTTTTATATAGAAGAAAATTGAGACCTTTATAATTTGATTATACTTTCAAATAAATCAATAGATAAATATACATTTCAATAAATCTTTTATTATACATTTTTTTACAAATGTAAATAGTAACCATCTAGCAAAAAGGATAAATGCATACAAAACTTTTTTATTAATAAGAGAAGCATGATATAAAAAAGAGAAGCATTTCTGAAAAGCACCACATTTTACGATTTTTTTAGTATTATTGTACAACATCAATTCCTGCGCTCGCTAAGTCGCTCGAGCATATTTTTCGATCCTGAACGCTCGCCAAATATTTAATAAATTTTCGAAAAGAAGAGGAAGGCTTGGTAATCTCTTTAGTTAGCGAGTGAAGCGTCTCCTTGTAGACTCCATGAGCGGACACTCGATGTCTAAGCACATTAACGGAACGTCGGTCAGTTTGCCTTCGACTTAAAGCTCGTCTTGGTCAGGTAAATATTGAAGTGCCTGCGAGATGTGGAGAATGCCGAGAGCTAAGTGATTGTATATAATATCATATATTAAGATTCATGCAAATGCATTTGCAAGTTTTAGCGAGTAGTGCAACAAAGTCAGCAAATTATTTCGAAACTTGATTAATGGAACGATCTCTTTAAAGTAACTTTAACTTTTCTTAATATAGCGATATATCGGAAGTTAACAAAAATTACAATTAAAATTATCAATCGATTGATCGCGGATCAAGAAAACTTCAAGATAGGTCCTCACTAAGGATTGATATACCTTTGCAAAATAAGTAAAATTGAATCAACTAAATAAAACCCTCTGCTGTTTCAAAAGTTAACAGTTCTGAGCGCGAGTACCACGGGGAACAACAGCAAGGATTTCTAGCATCTACGCCCGTGTAAGTCGAGAATGTGTGAAGAGAGAAGAGAAAGAAGAATCTCTCCGCTCCTCACGTGTGCGTGTATAGGTACTTTTACGTGTCGAGTACGTACGTATGCGCTTGTATACGCGAGGTCGTCGGCCTTCGTAAGGATAGAGCTTCATATCCAGCATCACCTATCGGACAGAGAGCGAAACTTGCCTCGAAATCCGCATTCTACGAGAGAGAGGGAGAGAGAGAAACCGTTACCGGGAGAGGGGGGCTCTCCTGCCGTTTCATAATGACGGAATTGCTGTTTCTCCGAAATAATAATATACAATATAATATTAAAATGAAATTACGTAATTTGGTATCGCCATTGAAGTAAAGTAACGTTAACAGATAGGAAAGTGGTACGATTTTCATAGCAGTTTGTCTACAAGTTCTTTTTGACTCACAATGTTTTGGAAATATCAATTAATTAATGATAAAATTGAGAAATTCGTAAATTCTCTTTCTGTCTCGAAAGATGTCCGGAAAGAAATCTATACATCTTATCGATCTGCATCGAACCTATGCGGAGTTAGAACTGCAGCTCGGTACCGGATGGAAAACAGTTGGAGAACGGGTGAAAGTGTGGCGAAGCTCTCGGCGCTTCACTCAAGGTCATCTGCTTCCTTTCCATAAAAAAATGACAAGTTGTGTAATGATGCCACAGGAGATAGTTTGGACTAATTCACTATTTTAAAAAAAGCGATCTCTTTGCCTACCGGAACTTGCACTCATGCGGAGATAAAGCAAATCTATACGAGAAATACCAATTAGATCCAATTATTCTGTTCGAGGGAAAAGTATAAATAAATAACCAGATTTATTTCGAAAGTAACTGCGTTTAAATTATATCGGTGTCTCATTAAAATTGATTGCTTCTCAAAGTTTTACTGCTACTTCTTCTCAGATGAACGGTTTAACTATTAGTTTTAGAAATTCTGATATTTGAATCGACCTAACAACTAAGAAAACCAGGAATGTTATAATAATTTAAATAGAAAATGTTTAGTATTGTTATATATGTTTAGAATTAAACTGTTAATAAAATATATTACTTAATGTGCGCATGTGTAAAAAAATAGTGTGCAAACTTGATTCTATCGAAGTACGCATTTTAAAAAGTTGCCAGAAAAACTCGAGCAGGCAGATAGAGAGCGCCGAGATTAACCGAGTATACGTTTGCTAAGTGAACATTTCTCTGCTTCTTTCCGCGGCACGAGAAACTCCTGAATAACAAGAAAGGCAGGAAAATGAATCGAGGCAAGGTAGCACACGCGAGCTTTCACTTTGAGTCGCGCTCGAGCATGGCATTAAATGCTGAGCGCGTAGCGTCGATACGTCCTAATGGGACGTTCGCTGACGCTCGAAAAGAGAATAAAAGAGAGGAAGGCGAAGAGAAGCCGAGGAGAAGACGCACGAGCGCGTGGTACTTCCTATAAAACTGTCATCGACAAGGAACTCAAGGAGGCCCCGTGTCCAGCACCACAAATCGTCGTCTTCGTTGTTGTCTTCGGCGACGAAGCGGCAGCGTGTAACGTTACGACAGCCGATAACTCCTGTAACCGTGTAAGGCGTCCAGCTCTGGCGGTCTATGATGCATGCCTAATTGCCTGTAATGGCAGGTTTTCGAAAGTGGCCCCTTGATGGTTAGGCAAGTATATGACGCGCTCGTCCAACGAAGTAAACGCGAGAACTGGAGTTCCTACATATTCACGCGGACCGACCAGATCCTCCTCTTTGCAACCGCGCGTGAACTCTTTCGTATATGCTTATATGCACTCACGAGTAATGCTTATCCTTACACGAATTCCTCAGCCCCACCGTGATGTGCTGACGTTTGAACTTTCGCTTCAAAATGATCGTCCATCTCCTTTTACTGAATTTTTCACCGTATCTGCTATATGCAGTCACACTAGTCGAGGATCTCTTCTTTGAAACTATTGTACAGCAACCTGAGAATTCAAATAATTAAGGAAATGTTTATGAAATGCAAGAAATTTGATAATTTACATAATTACAATTTTTGTGGCACTGTTTGCAATCAGAAGAGACACTTTCATTTCCTTTGGCCACATTATATGCTAAAAAAAGTAGCCCTTTCAATGCAATGTATCGCATACATTGCAGTGCGTACGACGGATTAAATCGTCAGCCTGAAACTGGGAAGCGCGGAAGAGGAGTAGGCGTGACCTGACGACGCACCGGATCAGTTTTGATGAGTGGCACGTTGCACAAAAATGCGATAAAAGACGCTCGAAAGAGATGCTCGTTTCACGCATCGAAAACTCCAATAATAACGCGCATAAAGAATTTATTACGTCCATCGGGGGAAAGTTATTACATCTTTAGTGAAATTAAACTGCACATCTAATGAGACTAGGCTACTTAACTTTCATTAACGTCACTTTTATTTTTCTAAGGGTAATTCTGTTTCATCAAATAGAAAAGGAAGGAGTGAGAATAACATATTATTCGAATTACATGTTATTTATGCTTTACATTTGCCTTTTTTCAAGCAAACAAACATTTTATAATAGAAATTTAAATTAAAGAAATTTAAATATTTATTATTTAGAAAAACGTTATTTGAAATTAGTAAAAAGTACTTATATATATCAAGGGACTTGTCCGTATAGAAAAATTAATTTGGTTTTCTTCTTTTAAATGAATAAAATTTCCAGTGTAATACAAATAGTACTATTGTTATTTCATGGCTGATATGAGAGTTGAGATACGGTGCGTAAAAGCATCAACGATCAGTGTAATATTGTTATTTTATATTACTATTATTATTACATATTTATATAATAGCGAATTGAGAAATCCCAATATGTATGAGTGAGATTAAGTTGGTACATATTTCGGCTTCATGATTCATCAAATATCGATTAATATAGGCAGCTCACCTGTCCTGCTTCTGTCTTGTCAGCCAAAAATTTATCCGCCAATCATCAGACTTGCTCATCAGACTTGCTCATCAGATTGTTATCTGGCAGACGGTGAAAGAGAGGTTGGAATACCTTCGCGGAAATCTCTTGATCGTTGATGCTTTTACACACCGTATCTCAACTCTCATATCAGCCATAAAACTGGAATGTTCCAGCAAATTTTTCTGTGCAACGAATATTCTCACGTTTCGATCATCGTAGTAGCGATTCGAACATCGTAGTACTGATAAATAGAGATAATGCTATTAAAAAAGACGATTACGATAAAGTTCTATCTACATTTTATTACGCCGAAATGGAGAAGTCATTGAACTGTGAGAAATTGGTACGTAGACTGAATCCTGGAATTAATTCTGATTTGATTAAATTCGGTGTTCATAAAATAAAAACGAAGTGGACATTTTTATTGAATAAATATATTTAATTTTTTAGTTTTGTGCAATTTCGATTTTTACTATTATTGAAAATGATATATTCTAGGATTGACTGGATAAAACGTATCTTCTCCTCTTACTATTTTTAAAGAAAAGTTTTTTAACCTTCTTTTTCATTTAAAAATATGATCTTTCATAACTGTTTCTTATACAATATTGTATGTGATAGACAGTAACAATAATTTTATACATTTAAAAGTTTAACATGATATAATTTAAACAAATATGTATACATTAATAATAATTAATATAATGATAATTTATATTTAATAAATCAATCCTAAAGGATTGATATAAATTTCTATCGATTTTAATAATTATGCATTTCGAAATTGTAACTTTAACATCTAATCATAATCTTATTTCGATAATTCATATTTATTAAATTACAGAAATAAGTTGAGGAGAAATTCTGAATATAGAAGATTACGTGTGATTACATTCGATACTTTTTGAGATACCATATAATTAATTACCACTCCAATTTGTAGGGCACGTGGTTTGAGCGAAACTATTCAGAATGAAAAAGTGTAAATTACAATTTCGATTTAGCGATAAAATCAAACCGATTAACCAACAAGTTGCACTAACGCGTGGGTCAAACACAGTCTGACTCGTGCATTATTGTTCTGCCATTTTTTACCTCTTGCGGTGCGCCACTGCTCTTTATTGGCCCCTGGAAACGTGACTCGGTTCGGCCTCACGTTTCTTTGACGATGTCTATCAAGTCCATTTGACGGAACTGATCGACTAAGTATCTTGTTTTGCCAGTCTGCAATGTACGCTTTCGTAATTATTCTTCTAACGTTTCTCTCGAATTGCAAAGTTAATTATAGAAATAAACATACGCGTATATTTATTTTGCATTACCTTGAACAGTAGCTAGTCTGTATAAAAAAATAGTATAAATTTTTATTCTTTATAAATGCTTAATACAATTTTGAAAGCTTTGGCAAAGTTTGCAATTTCTATTACTCGAAATTTACTAGTATTTCCAAAAAAAGATAAAAAATAAAAGTTACCAAATTTAACAAATAAATTTTCTAAATATTGTATTAATTAATATAAATATTTCCAGTTTTTAACTTGAATTGCAGCTTTAGTTTTAAAAGCGTATTTATAATTTTAAAAGGAAATATTATATTTGATTTATTTACTTCAAAATATAAAATTATTACTTCTAGCATCTGGTTTTTAAATCAACATAATTAAGACAAGAGATAGCGTAATAAAAATAAAGATGTCTTAAATGTTCTTTTATTAGAGACATAAATTTCACAGCAATCAGAATTAACAATTTATTACATTTACAAACATTGATTTTATGTAACCATATATGTAGTCGAAGTATAAGATTGTGGGTGAATAATCTCCCTTGAAGATCTTGAAGAGCGGTTGTTTGAATCGTAAAAACATAATAACATTTCGTCGAAACACGAAACTCTTCCCGGCGTTTTGATGCCCGCATATTTCTTAATGGCGGATAAGAAAAGGAGGAAAACGAATGCGTGGGTTCAGCGAGGTGATAAAAGCGTGTGTGATTTGATTGACGCTCCTAATGTTAACTTCTTAACTCTAATCAATTTCACCAGCAAACGAGTTGCACGTAACGGTACCGCGTTCTTTCGAAATCCATTACGTTACAAAGTGTTCTGGAAAATTTCCACTAGCAAAACAATTCTCTATTTAAAAACTTTATTTTATTTTTATATTTTACAATTTTATATTTGATATAAGTAGAAACTTGCGTGACCTATTTTTACAGTTTTGTATATACAACTTAAATATATTTATTAATTTTCAAATTAAAATTTTATTGTTTAAAGTCTACTTGAAATAAAATTATAAATAAATTACTCGGTAATGTAAGTCGCTATGTACATTTTTATATATTTTAATATTTAGACTTTGGCATCAATTGTAATAAAAACAATCCTTTTCAACGTGTATTAAAAAAATATTGTTATTTCATTATTGCACAAATTTTTGGAACACTCTGTAGACGTGCTTTTTATCAGTGATTCTTATCGAGGTTCCCAGCTTCTCTCTTGATAATTATGCGCCGCTGCGTTAGAAGATTGTTTCCGTCAGGTCGGATTTGACTGATGCGCCGTCATCGTTTCTCCTCGTCGAATAAGATCGACGCATTCCAGTTGCTAGCATCGATGATGAATGGATACGTGGCAATTACAAGCAGTAAAGAGCTGCGAATGATTGATTTGCCGCGGAGAATTACTGTACGATATTATCCGTAGAGGATAATTATTCTATTTATGCGAGCACACATTTTTACACGGTCTAGATAGTTCCACAAACCAGATATGTGGAAATATATATCGTATGGTAATTTGATTACATAATTGTAATTCACTACTCTGGTGGACCTTGATTGTTTTAACATGCACAAATAGAAAACAATAATGAGAGAATTGCATTTGTATAATGAGAAATATAAAAAGAAAAGAATAATTTTGTAACGATACGCTGAATTGAATATAATATGCAAGAGGTTAAAACTAATTAAATTGAAGCTATTACGTAAGAAAATAACATGGAAATTTACATGGATGTGCTTTATATAAGGAGTACGAGTAGAGGAACTATTTACCTATCAGATTACACAGACTAAGAATAAAATTTATCTAATCTTTTGATATTCTCACTTCGTATCGGAATATCAATACGATATTTGTTCAAGCGTACTCATACAACTCCTCGACGAAATATTGCGTTACTTTCAGATATTTTCTTATTCTTTAAAAGGTAAACGCTGAATATAAGACTGTGACCAATCAAAAGAGCAGAAGCTAGTATACTCGCCAACGGCAGCTGCACCGGCTGTGCTAATATTTGGCAGACATCTCCACTCGTGCTACAAGATAGCTGTGTAATCGTAATCTTGTGAGATTTGAAGTCGCTTCTCTGCCGATGCGTAAAATGTCGCTAAATCAAGTTGTAATTATGCGAAAAGACTTTTGAAAGCGTATACGTGTATCAAGCACTATTAATCAAGCTCCATAGTAACAGCAGAGGATTTTTACATAAATAAATCTGTATTAAAGGCTACTTGCGACCATTAAAAGTACATCAACCTCAGCCACGTCTTCGATATATTCTAGGATTAACGAATTAAATGGGAAATTAATTCCGATCCAGATATTATCTGGTGGTACAAGACTTGTGCCATCGAGTATCTTGAACCATAAGTATATTAAGTTTCGAAAATTTATTAACTTGGAGAAAATGTAATCTAACCCACCAAAAATAACACTTTAATATTCTAGTTTTATTAAATAAGCATTAAAAATAGGTTTTGAGAAATATAATTCACTCTTTATTATTTTCTTAGTAAGTTGTCATGAGTACTTTCTTTACTAATAACTATTAAAACTTAATTTGTCGTATAAGTGATTTATTTCTGCTTTCTACAAATTGCTTTAGCTTTAACAAAATTCTAAACTGCTAAATAGACAGTGTATCATTTAACTGAACTTATCACTTAGGATATCACATACTTCTCCTCGCACTCTTGATTAATCTTTTATAAGATAGTTTACTAGCGAGCACCTGCTGTGCGTTTACTTTTTCGTTCTATTATCTTGCTATGCTTTAATTGCGAACGATAAAGTCCTATTCGCTACGCGTATGCTTTTAATGCTGAGTTTCACGTGGAATGCATTCTGATTTGCTCGCGCTCTCCTTATTTTGTAACATGTGCTACACAAAATAGGAAACTCAGGATTGTAAAATATACAGGCAACTAAATACTTAACTTTCTGTATATTACAATTCTTTATTTAAATTGCGTATCAATGATTTTAGTCATGTTTGATGAAAGAAAAGTAGATTTACTTTTTATAATATACAATAAATATATACAAAGTCTCTTTCGAGTGCAAAAATTCGCACTTTTTATATTATTTTATTTTGTACTATATTACATCACAATAGAACTAAAACTGTACTATATTACATCACAAAAGAACTAAAAACGATAGGTGGAAATACAATAAGTATTTAGTAAATAGTTTAATACAATCATATAATATTTGAACACTTTTAAACAAGTAATTGTGTTGGATCTTTTTATTAGTTAGTATTACTTGAATTATCATCTAATCTTTTTTCGAGTAAGAAAGATTCTTTTATTTTTACAAATACGTTTGACGATTACGTCGCCGTTTATTTAATTTGAGCACGAGCGGAATGTTATGAATCACTGTCACAAGTCACGGAAGTTAACGCGGCGAGAAACACTGCCGCGTTAATACTCATGCTCGTCAAATTACGGAGGTAATTAAGATGGACATCCAACCACAACACCGCCAGAACGAATTCTCATGAACTACAGCACCGTACGGCAAACCGCACGAACCTCGGTGTTTCCTCTATCACGATCGATAGACACTTTACTGAATCCGTGGTAGGCCTTTCCGATCGTAAAGAAGAAAGCGTATTTACGGATAGGGTTAAGGAGTCGTTAACAGTCGGGAGTGCACGTTTCCATACCAGGGTGGCAATTAATGGTCTTGGTGCACGGCGATTTGCAAGCGCGCAAATTACAATCGTAAAGAAGGTTTAATCGGCGCTTCGTACTCTTTGTTGTTGTGAAGGTAAATTTGTGGTTACGGTACACTACGGGTTTTCAATATCTTCTACTTACAGCAAAATACTTGAAGTTTATAACTTTGCAGATTTCAAATCCCAAAGTATATTTTTACAAAAGAATTTTATTTATTGTCAATAAAATTTGTTACCGTGTATTTATGAATTTGATTAAAGACATCATTGTTTAAGAGACATTAAAAAGAGTATTGCAAATTTAATGCATTTGTAACAGATGTTTTAATATAACATAAATTCTAATTGTAAATCTGATTTCATTTTTATATTTTTCTTGTTATCGTATTGTATTTGTTATTGTACCATAGTGAAATTGGATTGTTTTAAAATTTAAT